CGCGCGCGCGCACACGCGCGCGCGCGAGGGGGCCCCAGACAGGGAGACCTTCAATCATCTTAGAATCCTTCCCTTTCCTTCAGGAAGGAGGAGGAGGAGGAGGGGGAGGGGGGGGGGGAGGAGGAGGAGGAGGGGGGGGGGGCCCCCCTCCCTTCCCATCCCTTCAGGAAGGAGGATGCGGATGAGGAGGCGAACTCCATTCCCTTTCCCTCAGGAGGAGGAAGTCCCCTTCCCTTCGCTTTCCCTCGGGAAGGAGGAGGGGGGGTGGCCCTTCACTTCCATTTCCCTCAAGGCACGGGGGAAGGAGGAGGAGGATGTTCCTTCCCTTCCGTTTCCTTCGGGAGGAGGAGGAGGGGGAGGATAAGGTTGGGAAGGCGGTTCCTTCCCTTCCCTCTGCCTCATGGAAGAAAGGAGGAGGCCCCCTTCCTGCCCCTTTCCATGAGGGGGAGGAGGAAGAGGATGATGACGCTCATTCCCTTCCTTTCCCTCAGGAGGGTGGATGAGGATGAGGCCCCTTTCCCGCCTCTTTCCCTCGCGAGGAGGAAAGGGGGGGGGGGGGGGGGGGGGGCAAGAAGGAGGATTATCCTTCTCTCAGGAGAAAAGAGGAGGAGGCCCCCTTCCCTTCCCTGTTCCCAAGGACGGAGGAGGACGAGGAAGGCCATTCGCCTCCCTTTCCCTCAGAGGGAGGAGGAAAAGGACGAGGCTCACCCCCTTCATTCTCCAACACGAACGAGGAGGAGGAACTTCCCTCCCTTCCCGTCCCTCAGGAAGGAGGAGGGGGATGGGGGATGAGGAGGAGGTTCCTTCCTTTCCCTTACCTTCGGTACGGAGGAGGAGGGGGCCCCTTCCCTGTCCCTTTCTCTCGTGAAGGAGGACGGGGAGGAGGTTCAGTCCCTGCCCTTTCCTTGTGGACGCAGGAGGATGATGAGGAGGTTTCTCCCTTTCCCTTTCCCTCAGAAGGGTGAGGGGGAGGTTCCGTCCCTTCCTTTTCCCTCAGGAAGGAGGAGGATGGGGGGCGAGGAGGAGGATGCGGAGGTCACTTCCCTTCCCTTTCCATTAGGGCGGGGAGGTGCATGTTCCTTCCTTTCCCTACCCTTCATAACAGGAGGAGGAGGCCCCTTCCCTCCCCATTCCCCTCAGAAGGAGGAGGAGGAATGGGAGGACGTTCCTTTCCTTCCTTCCCCCTCAGGGAGGACAGAGAGGAGAGGGATCCCCCCCCCCCCCCCCCCCCCCCCCCCCTGCCCATTTCCATCAGAAGGAGGAAGGATATGAGGAGGAGCAGGGCCATTCCCTTCCTTTCCATCAGGAAGGAGGTAGAGGATGCGGTTCATGCCCTTCCCTTTCCATCAGGGGGAGAAGGGGGGGGGGGGGGAATGAGGATGATTTGTCCCTGTCCCTTTCCTTTGGGATGGGAGGAGTAGGAGGGGAAGGAGGAGGAGCTTCCGTTCCCCTTCCCTGCCCCCAAGGAGGAGGAGGAGGCCCATTCCCTAACGCGAGGTGCCGTTATGCCCCCGAACCCCCTGGCAAGACCCCCCTAGGGATGGAATGCTCCTCTGGTACGATCCGTATACGGATGGGTGCGCCTCTGGTATAACCCCCATTCGGATGGATACACCTCTGGTAGACCCCTATAGGGCTGGGTGCGCCCCCTATGGGGATGGATGCGCCCCTGGTGCGGCCCCTATAAGGATGGGGGCCCCTCTGGTACGATCCCTGCGTGGATGGATGCACTTCTGGTAGGATTCCCAGGAGGATGGGGGCACCTAAGGTACGACCCCTTTGGGGGTGGATGCGCCTCTGGTGCGACCCCTTATAGGGATGAATGCACCTCTGGTAGGGGGGGGGGGGGGATCGCCTGTGTCGCTCGCGCTTGGTCTGACTGAGCGCGCGGGCATCTGAAGAGCACGCGTTTGCAAGCTTTGCTTTGCTTGACATCTGATCAACCAGATGGGGAGATGGGCTTTCTATATGTATATGTGCGTACATATACATATGCACTATGCGAGGATGCATTAGTCATTCAGATGCTGACGTTGACAGAGAAGCAGGGGCACCGATATGCGCGCGCCCATATATTGTCTGTGCTTTGCCCCGCTTCGACTTTGATGGCCAGCGATCTCTGGCCCCCTGCAATGCGGGTGGGCGTTGAAATCGAGCAGGCCGCGCGACGACGAGCCGCCCCCGCGCGAGGCGCGACAAAAATCATTAATTAATGGCGCGGGGGGGTCCGACCACGCAATTCCAAGCCCGAGTCAGGAAACAAAGCCAGGCAGGGCGACCAGCAGCCGAGGAGGAGACTACTGGCCGCCGCGCTGGCCCGGGGCCCCGCGGCGTCGCGTCCGCGTCGCATGGGCCCGTCAATAAAATATGAGACCCCCATCCCGCTCTGACTCCCCCGCGGGGCGCCACTCCGCGCCCGAGTGGATTCAACGGAGGGGGGGTCGGGCAGCGAAGTGGCCCGAAGCATCGGGGCAACCGAGGCGACGAGATCCAAAATGGTCGGACGCTGCGCAAAATCGCGCCGCAGTTGTGAGTTGTGAGGTCGAGGCGCGGAATGGCGACTATTGTCGCGCCAGGCCGTCGCCGCTCCGCCGCCCGAGCCAGGCGAGGCGTCGCGGCGAGAATCGGCGGGCATATTTCCGATGTCCTGCCGATGGCCCGAGTCGCGCGGCCCCTCGAGATCGCGGGGCGGCGCGAGCCAAATATTGGCATGGCGCGAAGATTTCAAAATTAAACTGGCCCAGGTAGAATCGGCACCCCCGCTCCGATCTCGCCCCCCTCTCTCGATTCGGGGCCCATCGGATCGACGCCCGCGGCTCCCCGCCGATGGATCTGCGATGGCCCCATCCAGGCGGGGCGCGCGTTCAGGCGTAAGTACCTAGCCAAAATTAATAGAATGCGCGGCGGTTGCGCTCTTTAGTTCTCGAGCCACCCACGCAAGAGGGGGGGTCCCGGTGGAAGGCGCGGGAGGGGGCGTGATAACCTGACAAGAAATGATATTCTCAAGAGGCGCGAAGTCCCGCGCCCCGCTCGATCCGCGGCGGGCAGCTCTTCGGCGACCCCGGGCCCGCTGCGAGGCGGGCTCTTGACTTTCTCGCCCCCCCCATCCGCTGCAGAAGCGGGCCCTCCTGCGTCGGGCCCCGGGGGGAAAAAAGCAAGGGTCGAGGCTGCAACTGGCGCAGTCGCATTCTAAGGCCCGCGGTCTCCTCTTTCATTTCCTCGTCTTCGACCTTTCCCTGATCTGGGCCCCAGGCGATCTCCGCGGGCGACGGAGAGGGCGGGCGCGACCTCTTTCTTCTCTTCCTTGGCGGCGGCCCCTTTCGGCGAGACTGGGGTCAGCGCGGCGCCCCCCCAACTGGCGTCGCCGGACTCGCTTGCCATGGCGGGGTGCTCGACGGTGAAGGATATGGTGCTGCTCGGCTCGCTGTCGACGCTGCTGAATTTGCTCCACTCCTGATGGGCTGGTCACTCAGGTGCGCGATGATCGTTCCCATTTGGGAGTCGGTAGCACTCTGGCGCGCGAGTAAAAGCTGAACCATGTCGGATAGTTGTTCGATTTCATCATTGTGCACTGAGGTTGAGGCGGTGGGGGTGGGAACGGGCGCGCCACGGGCTGGGTCGGGGCGAAGCCAGGTCCTGGAATAATCAGAGCAGGCGGCATATATAGCACCCCTGTGCTCGGCATCGCTGCTGGTGGCGGTGGCGGCGCAAGCGGTGGCATGGCTGGCGGGGGGCCAGCTGTAGCGGCGGCCGCAACTCCTCCCAATTGTTCTCCATCCCCCGCGTGCATGGTGGCGCCCTCCTCCCCGACCACGTGGCCCTCTAACTCCTCAAATTTCTCAGCGCTGCCTTCCAGGCCGCCAAACTTTATCACCATCACGGTGCGAAGGCTGGGTCTCGTTAGCCTTGTTGGCGAATGTCTTCAGGCACTCTTAAGATAATTGAGCTGGCCCGTCAGTATGTCACTTGTGCTCGCTGCGTATTTCAGAAACACGCGACATCCTTGATGTAGTGGGTGGCGTCCTCCTTGCCAGCCTCTCTGGCCACAATGATCAGGCGCGCAATTTTGACAATCCTCTGCTTTGTTTTCGGCCTGTAGGCCCTGATGCCTGGAATGTCGAGAGAAGGGGGTCGTAACCGATCATGTCCAAGTAGACGGCGGCGCCGGAACGCTTCATCGTAACAGCCTTGCTTCACAAACGCTTGATCACATCTTGCTCCTGTTTCATTTCCTTATTCTGCACATTTCGTTGGATGTCTCGTTGCATTTCACGACGCGTATTGCTGGGGTCACGCTGTGCTGCGGTGGCTGGTGACGTCCTGGCTGCGGTGTAAATCCTTGGGCTCGGTTGTCAAAGTGTCGCCCGCACTGGCAAGACCAATGATGTCCACGCGCGCAACAGCCGCACGGGCAGTCCCACAGAACTCCTGGTCCTGGAGAGCGAGCGATCTGGAAATGGGGTGAACTTTGATGGGTTCTCAGCAGAGAATGGGCTTTGCATTATGAAAGGACGGACTCTAGCGCGGTGTCGGCGCTAGCGGGCGCGGCGGTGCCACGCGGGCTCACGCGCCGCAGTGCAAGTACAGTATCAGCGTCGCGGCCTGACCAAGGCACGCCTGACGCTCGGCCTGCACCTGAACCAAAGAGCCTCCTCCTCCTCCTTCTCCTACTCTTCCTCCTCCTCCTCCTCCTCCCTCCTCTCCCTCCTCATGCCCCTCCCCCCGCGCCTCCTCCTCCTCCTCCTTTTCCTCCTCCTTTTCCTCCTCCTCCTCCTCTTCCCCATCATCCTTCTCCTCCTCCCTCCTCGTCCATCTCCTTTTCCTCCTCCTCCTCCTCGTCTTCCTCCTCCTACTCTTCCTCCTCCTCCTCCTCTTCCTCCTCCTTCTCCTCCTCCCATCTCGTCCATATCATATTCCTCCTCGTCCTCCTCCTCCTCCTCTCCCTGATCCTGCTCCTCCTCCTCCTCCTCCTCCTCCTCCTCCTCCCTCCTCCTCCTCCTCCTTCTCCTCCTCCTCCGGCGCCCGGCGGTCTACAGGTGCCCCCTGAGCGACCGGCCCGACTCGGAGCTGAGGGAGGGCCGGCGGCGGTTCGACCTGCCACGGCTGGCGGCCGGCTTGCGGGGGCTGATTCCCAGCGCCGCGATGGCCCCGCCCCCCGGCTCCTGTCGGTTGCATGCAAAAGTGACCCTGGGTAAAGAGTGGCCTTTAGTCCCAGACCTCCTCGATTCATGAACAAATCACGACAGGAGGTTTTTCCATATTTTCGGCCTCCGGGGGCCCTTACCGGCCCTCGGGACCGTCAAGAGACGGTTCAGGATGAGAAGCATGTGCTAGGGAGTGGGTCGGAACCTTTGGAGGTCGCGTAATGACAGAAACATGACGTCGGGGGTTTGGGTAAGAGTGGCCTTTGGTGCGCGGCGTTTTGGGGGCCGCGGGGCGCCACTCCCAAGCGCGCAGGGCGCTACTGCCACATCGCGTTCGGCGATCGGCTGACCACAGTGGGCCCGCACCAAAGGGTCACTCCAGCGAAAGGTCAGTCGATCCAGTTGGGAGGAACGGAAAGGGTAGGATAGCAAAGGGCAGGTTCAAGCATCGGCTCACGTAGCTGGTTTTCCTGGCGCCTTCTGGCGCCTGGAGGCGTCCATGTATCGAGGAATGGGCTGGGCGGCGGGGCCGAAACCAGCTGCGTGCAGCAAATTTCGAAGCCCCCCTTGGCTTATCTCCCCCTTTTGTCCGGCCCGATCCTGACGGAACTCAGACTCTGGCGCAGCATTTTTTTTCACCACGGACGTTTTCGCTCTCAGTTTCGGGCCCCTGGGACCCTCAAAATGACGTAGGAAGATGAGGTCGGGGGCTGTGATCGTGATTTTCTGCGATGTTGCATATGTTTGCAACGTCGGATCTCAGGGGGGAGAGCGTTACAGTCGGGTTCGATTAAAGAGGACACGCGAGAGGACACCAGACCCTTCCGAGGGCCACGTGGCCACAGGAATGTAAAGGCATGTGTCTCTAAAGACAGGGCTCGAAGGTACTCTTGATTCAGCAGGGCCGGCTTATTAATTAAGCCCGACTGTACGGTCAGGAGCTTTGGCTTAGCGTGTCGCGGCGGCGGTCCCGGCGACACGCTATGCCCTGCACGCGGACAGCGTGTCGCTCCGCTTCGTGCGACGGGAGGCTGGGAAGGGCACGGGGCTGATGCTGGAGGCCTGGAAAGTGCCTGGCGCGTCGCGCGGAAGCGTGGCGGGCCAGAAACAGCGACGCCACGCACTATCCCAACATTCCTGACCGTACCAAGCGGTCCGAAGAAGCTGTAGGTCGGGCATGTCCTCCTACAGACGGATTTTGGACGAACAAATCGAAATACCCAAAACATGTTCAAGCATAGTCAAAAGATACTCAATAAATAATCCCCCAAGCATTTTTGTAATATTCTTGTTGAGTGCTCATCCTGTAGAGTGACACGCCCGACTCAAGAGTAGGCCGAACCATGAAGTAGGAAGACGTTGGAAGTAGATTGGGCTTCCGCCCGCCTTCTGGAGAGGAGGGCAGAAGGAAAACCGCTCGACTCTTGAAGTTAGGCAGGCGGCCAAAGCGCACTGGGCACTGGGAATCCCCAAATGCATGCTTTCAGCGACCGATGGGTAGGGGGCAACGCTCGGGGAGAGCGAAAGGGGGAGATAGCAAAGGGTAGGGTAGAGAATCAGCTCACGTAGCTGATTTTCCCAGCGCCTCACGGCGCCGGGATGCGCCCACGTATCGAGGAATGGGCTGGGCGGCGAGGCCGAAACCAGCCGCATGCAGCAGATTTCGGACCCCCCCCTTTCCCTTTCCCCCCCTTTCGTTCGGCCCGAAACGCTGGGGTTGGGACGACTTTCTCGGACTCGAGGTTTGAGGTTCTCGGATGTTCTTAGGTCGGGGCAGTCCCCTACAAGGGGATCTTGGGGCGAAAGATTAACATGTCCTCAAATGATACCCAAACATAATTTGAAATAGTAGAAAAATCGTCCCCTGACTATTTTTTGAATGTTTTGCATACTCCTCCTGTAGAGGGACAGGCCCGACGTCGGAGTGAGGCGCCGAAAGGTCTTACATTGTCCCTGGGTGCGTGGCTGAAGTGGGGATCCGCTGTGAAAATTCTGCTGGTTGTAACTGTCGTCGTCCTCCCCGCGACCCACCCCGCGACCCACCCGCGACCCGCCCGGACCCACCCACGACCCACCCGCGACCCACCCGGGACCCACCCGCGACCCACCCGCGACCCACCGACATTGTTGTTTCGTATTATCAACGTGCGACTGCGGCGGGCTCGCTAAACATGCCACAAAAAATCGGCGCCTGCGGCGAGCCTCTTGGAATTTTCGCTGCCACATGCGAACCCTACCCCATACCACCCTCTGGATTAAAAAGTTGTGACCAGCACTATGCGAGAGAGCGATCCCCGCGGGTTTCGCCGGTCGACTGGCTCTCGAGCCTCCACCATCGATCAACCCCGAGATGACTCTAAGGCAGGCCCGTGAACCGAATGACGGAACGGCTCCGCAGGGCGTGGAGCTCTGCAGCACTAAGTTATGGAAATCATCGCACACGAAATCTTTGTCTTGTGGCGGCATGGAAGGCAACCTGCAAGTGCTGTTTAAGGACGTCTTAAGCGAAACGACCACTCTCAGGCGGCATGAACATCGATCTGAAACTTTGTGTAAAGAAGTCCTAAGCAAAATCGCCACTTTCAGACGGCATGGGAGAATTTCAGATCGCCCTGGAGGGCGATCTGAATTTTTTTTGGAAGAAGTCCCAGGCGGAATGCCACTTTCAGACGCCGGCCCCACTTGGCCTTTATAATATGAAAGGGGGTGAGGTATGCGTCTGAAACTCCCAATTCGGCATCAAATCCAACATTGTCCTGGGCCCCATGGCCTAACGGGTGGTCAACAGCGTCTCTCTCTCTCTCTCTTTCTCTCTCTTTCTTTCTCTCTCTCTCTCTCTCTCTCTCTCTCTCTCTCTCCCTCTCGAACCCCGCCGTCCCAACTTTTTAATCCAGCGGGTTGACCGCCGCCAGCGCACGTCGCGTCACTGTCACGTGCTTTCCATGCTCCACATCGGCACGCACAACATTCCTCTAACACTGCGACGCGCACCTACCACTTCGTGCGAGATCCGGGCGGGTTCGACCGCAGGCAGTCCTCTGCCCTCTCTTTCTGGTGGGTGGACAAGTACCACAACTGATCTGACCTGTGCGTATTGGCCCACCGCACTGCCGCTCGCAGTCGCTTCGCGAACTGATCCCTGGGCCCCAACTCAACGGGGCACGTCTCGTCTAGGCGCTCCCGTAAGATTGCCCAAGCATTCTCAATTGCATTGAAGTCCTGGGACACCTTCGGGAACTCGTCCACCAGCTTCATGCCGCAGCGATTGAGGGCGTGCAGAGCCTCCGGCGTGCGCAAGCACCTCTCATAATCACAGACCAAAAATTCACAGTTCAACCTCCACTCATCGAACTTGTCTTCTATCAGCGCCACGTACACAGTCCGGTCCATGACCTCGCCTTCGTCGAGCACGTGTATGTTCAGGACACCAGCAGCGAGCATTCCCCACGCCCGCGCCGGGTGGCCCTGAGCTCTGTTGTAACACGATGGGCCCACGCAGTCTGCATACAAGGCGTCGCTGTTGTCCGACTTTCTCCACGCATGGGGCCCTAGTGCCCGGCGCGCTGTGTGCTCGTGCTCACCTGCTGATCTATCGCAGTAGTACGTGGCTCCATCCACGTAGGCCCACCTCTCTAGGGTGGCTTGGCGTTTCCGCTTCACGCCTTGAGAGTAAGCCACGCGAGCAGCCCGATGCTCAGCAACCACGATGCTCTTATTGCGGCGCCTGAGCCATCGGAGGTCGGCCTCAGCAAGACGTTCTTCCACCAGCGTATCGGACAGCTTGCGCAAGAATGGGAACTGCTTCTTTAGCCGGCTCACGGTCACTTTCGTCTTCCCGCGGTTGGCCAATACCCACTTGACGACGTCCTTGTCTTGCTTCTCGGTTGTCTTGCGCGGGGCCCCAGACCCCGCGCCTTTCTCTCCGCGCCACCCAGGGCTATCCTGCAACTTCTTCATGCAATTCCCTATTGCCGTCTCAAGAAAAAATAGTTTTCCCGTCTGCCTTCTTCACGCGTTGGGATATGCTCGTGCACCCCATACCGTGCTCCATGTGGGCTTTCACCTGTCCAACCTCAAAAGGGCACAACTGATACGAGGCCATTGTGGACAGCGACGCCTCCCTGAGGCAGCAACTCGCGCGCGCAGAAGACTTGAGCCAAAACGGCTACGGACCCCAAAGACATGCCCTCGGCGAACTCACCCTGCCTGCGTGGCGTCATCGACCCACGAATGTTGCTGTGGGCCCCGCGCACCCCCTATGGTGCCGAGAAGATACCAGGCCTGCCATGCCCTGCACAACTGGCGCGCATAGCGGCCGCGCTCCGAGACCACCTCCAGCGCACCCCCTGTGGTGCCGAGAAAACACCAAGCCTGTTATGGCCTGCGCGACCGGCGCGCACATCGGCCGCGCTCGGAGAGAACCCCCAGCGCACCCCCTTATGGCGTCGAGAAAATGCCGCGCCAGCTATGCCCTGCACGACCGGCGCGCATGGCGGCCGCGCTCAGAGACCACCCCCTGCGCACCCCGATGGTGGCGAGAAAGTGCCAAGAGAAACGCATCATCAGGTTTTCACGTTTGCATTGCCTGAATGCGAGTGTGCGAAAATGCACGAAACACCATAGGAAACGCTGCAATTGGACGCGGCGTCGGGCCATCTCTGCAAGGCAAGGTTGTTCCTAGAAACACGCTTGACCCCTGCCAGCAGCGGATGGAGACAATGATTTTTTGGTCGGCCGCAAGTCTGGTCAGTTCGTGTCTCGAGCCCTTGCTCGTGTGGAGGGCTCTCGCCCTGCTAGTCCGCGCGCTGCTGCTCTGCTAGGCGCCTGCGTTTCACCGTCCGTGCAAAACTCGAGAACGCGTTGTCGACCTTCTCAGTTGGGAGCTTCGTCTTGTCGTGGAAGGCCTCGCCCTCTGCCAGCCGCACGAGGACTGTGTTCTTGCAGAGCCAGCGAGAGCGCCACGGCGAGTCATCGCCCACCAAGTAAGAGTCCGGCGCGTCCCAGCTGACCGTCGCCACCACGGCGACACCGTACAAGTACTGAGGGTACGCGTACACGTTGGTGGCGCTTTGGCCCCCGCGGGACCTGCTGTTCCTCGCCTGCAACGCCGCCCTCCACCGGAGCAGCTGCGCCCACGAGTTGCAGTTGTCCAGCACCAGCCCGTCGTGCTCGTCGCATTGGAAGCTTCGGAGGTCCAGGTGCTCCGCCTCCTCAACTGTCAGCACCAGTGGTTTGCTGAAGAGGCTCTCTGCGTAGTTCGACTTCCCTGAAGCACTGTCGGCCACAAGGGCCAAAAGCTTCCATCGAAAGTCGAGGGCGAGGAACGAATCTTCCCACTGCCGCACGGCCGGGAAAGTGCGGAAGGGGGCGCGGGTCATGTCCAGCGCGGCATCTACACGAGAGATGCGCTCGTCGATCCAAGCCTCCTTCTCACCCGCCCGGACAGCCTCAACCTTGCGCTTCCTGTCTGCGAAACCCACGCGGACCCGCAGCGCGAGGGCCTCGTAGGTGTAGTTCTCGAGCTTTCCGTCGGTCCACAGGGCGTCCAACCACAGGCCCATGACCCTGTAGTCAGACCAAGGCTTCCAGTTCGACCCCTTGAAGAGCGTGCCCTTCTTTGGTGCCCAGCAGTAGAAGTGTCCGCGGTTGCTCGTCTCTGCAAAGTTCGCGCCCCTGGCTGCTTTCGAACCTGGTGGGGCGAAGGGTCGGCGGGCGTCCGGCTTGACGCCGTGAAAGGCGAAACAAACCGTGTTGGGCTCGTCCAAGGCTGCCGAAACGTCCACCTTCCAGTGAAAGTGCACCCTCCCGGGGAGGTCGCTGTTGAGAGACTCCTCAAGCGTGCTGGTGCCCTGTTTGACCTGCAAGCCCTTCTTCTTCTGGCCCTCGAAGTCCTTCCAGAATTGCCACAAGTCTTCAGCAGACGCTGCCGCTGGAGTGCCGTCCGGGAAATCCGTGCCGAAAAAACCCTAGTTGTAGGTGAGAAGGAAGCTCGTGCCACGCAGCCGAAACCCAACCACCTCGTCCTCCTCGTCCGCCTCGTCCTCCTCGTCCTCCTCGGGGGGCCACGAGTCCTCGTAGGCCTTGTAAGCGGCGGCCACCGCCGCCTTCTGCGCCGCCCCAGCGCTCGAAGACTCAACCAGGCGAGCAAGTGCTTCTACCTTGTCCCTGGCGGCGTTGTCTCTGGGTAGCTCCGAGTGGTGAACGCCTGCTGCTTTCGCTGCCCTGTTCAACGCTTGAACCAGCTTCGGCTGAGTGGCCGAAGACATGTTTCGAACCGAAATGGCTACGGGTCTGAAAGCTGGGGATTGCCCAAACCAAGCCGCCAGCGCACGTCGCGTCACTGTCACGTGCTTTCCATGCTCCACATCGGCACGCACAACATTCCTCTAACAACCGAAATGGCTACGGGTCTGAACGCTGGGGATTGCCCAAACCAAGCGTTTTTTGCAACCACCCTCTGGACTAAAAAGTTGTGACCAGCACTATGCGAGAGAGCGATCCCCGCGGGTTTCGCCGGTCGACTGGCTCTCGAGCCTCCACCATCGATCAACCCCGAGATGACTCCAAGGCAGGCCCGTGAACCGAATGACGGAACGGCTCCGCAGGGCGTGGAGCTCTGCAGCATAAAGTTATGGAAATCATCGCACACGAAATCTTTGTCTTGTGGCGGCATGGAAGGCAACCTGCAAGTGCTGTTTAAGGACGTCTTAAGCGAAACGACCACTCTCAGGCGGCATGAACATCGATCTGAAACTTTTTGTGAGGAAGTCCTAGGCAAAATCGCCACTTTCAGACGGCATGGGAGAATTTCAGATCGCCCTGGAAGGCGATCTGACATTTTTTGGGAAGAAGTCCTAGGCGGAATGCCACTTTCAGACGACGGCCCCATTTGGCCTTTATAATATTAAAGGGGGTGAGGTATGCGTCTGAAACTCCCAATTCGGCATCAAATCCAACATTGTCCTGGGCCCCATGGCCTAACGGGTGGTCAACAGCGTCTCCCTCTCTCCCTCTCGAACCCCGCCGTCCCAACTTTTTAATCCAGCGGGTTGTACCCCCCACGATTTCTGAGGGGGAGGGTGGGGTTCACTTCGTCGTCGATGTCTTTCAGGGTCGGCGGCACCGGCCGTCAGGCCTTCACAATATGGCCGATTTCGGAGACCCTGCACACAATAATGTTGCCACCTCTTGGAGGGCAGCTTTCTGTCACTCCCGCAACAATAGCAAAGATAACATTCCACGGGACGAGTCGTTTTTTGACGGTCCCGAGGCCCGGGAAGGGCCCCTCGGAAGCCGAAAAAAGCGAAACACCTTCCGTCGTGACTTCTTCGTGGCTCGAGGGGTCTGGGGATGCATCCCCCCTCCTGAGCCTGTCCCCCCCCCCCTGACGTAGGAGGAGGAGGAGGAGGAGGCGGAGGAGGAGGAGGCGGAGGAGGAGGAGGAGGCGGAGGAGGCGGAGGCGGAGGAGGAGGCGGAGGAGGAGGAGGCGGAGGAGGAGGAGGAGGACCCCCTGACATTGCCCCTGAAGTCTCCAACACCAGCGCCGAGCGGAAGTTGTTCGGGTGGAAGCTGCGGCGGCCGCCCGTGGCATCGCGCCCACCCGCAGAGGCCACCCCCTCGGACGTCGCCTCTGGGCATGCCGCATACTCCTCCTCCTCCTCCTCCTCCTCGGCCTCCTCCTCCGCCTCCGCCTCCTCCGCCTCCTCTTCCGCCTCCTCCTCCTCATCCTCCTCCACCTCCTCCTCCGCCTCCTCCTCTGCCTCCTCCTTCGCCTCCTCCTCGGCCTCCTGAGGGCAACGGGTCTGGGGCCCTTTGTGTTAGGTCGGGCATGTCCCCCTTGGATTTTCGGACGAAAAATAATCAATACCCAACAAATATCAACAAATTGCCACACATGGTCAAAAACTCATCCACATACTATTGTTTAACTGTTTTTGAATTTTCCTCCTGTAGAGAGACAGGCCCGACTTAACCTTTGTGGGCGAAGAACCTATCCGTATCCGCGGCCTCGCGGGCTGGGCCCCCTGGCCGCGGCCCCACGGCTACGGGGCTTTTCCTCTCGCATGCCCCGCGTGAAACGTATCCGTGCGACCTCGCATCCGCGGGATCGCGCCCCCGAATCCAGACCGCGAGGGCGCGGATACGGCTGTTTTCGCTGCTCGTGGGCCCTGGCAGCCTTCCCCCAGGACCAGCTCTTCGTCCTGAGCCGCTCTTTCTGGACCGGCAGCGGCGGCAACAGCCCCAAGACCATTTCTCGGCGGCGCCCATTCCAAAAGGGAGGGCGCCCACGGAGGGGCCTCCCGAGAAGGGCCCAGGGGCTTCTGAGGAGGCTTCTTACGGGCCGCCAAGTCCTTTCGAGAAGGCCCCTGCTCTTTTCAATGTACAGCTCCTCTCTCTAAATTGTATATATATATGTATGTGTATTCATACACCTATATATATATATATATTTGTGTATATATGTATACATGTGTATACAACTGTAGTTAAACATACATGTATATGTATATCTCTCTATATCTAGATGTACATCGATGTATATATGTATATATGTGTATAAGTATATAATACAGAAGGCCCCCTGCTTTCTGAGAAGCCCCCCTCGCCTCCTCAGAAGGCCGACCACCTTGCGCCGTCCCCTCTGTGGGCGCCGCTGAGTTTCCCACGGGACCCGCTCCCAGCCCTCCGACGATGTGTTCTTCCTCCCCTGCGCGGCCCCAGAGGTCCCCACCCCTTCCCTGGGGGAGTAATGGTGGGCCGATTCTCCAGAGGAGGAGGAGGCGGAGGAGGAGGAGGAGAAGGAGGAGGAGAAGGAGGAGGAGGAGCAGGAGGGGGTTAACAGGAGGAGGAGGAGGAGGAAGAGGAGGAGGAGGAGGAGGAGGAGGAGGAGCAGGAGGAGGAGGAGGAGGAGGAGGCGGAGGAGCACCTCCCCATCCTCCCTTCTCCCCCGTCCTGCGCATTGTAGCGGGAAAATTTGCCCATCATGTAGTTCTCCGCCCCGGATCCGCTTCTGGTGGCCCATGGGGCCCAGCGTCGAGCCCCAAGGGGCCGACGTCGAGGACGGACGCCGGGATGAAACAAGCCACACACGCTTTCGGAGATCCGGGTTCGCTCCGTGGCGAGGCCCGGGGCCCTTCCGAGAAGGCCCCCTGCCTGCTAGGAGGGCCCCCCCCCCTGCCTCCTGTGGGGTCCGCCCTCCCCCCCGGCCTCGCGCCGCCTCGTCGCGTCGGGGCAGGGCCAGTGAAGACAAGGGCACTTCAGCATCGGTTCCTGGACCCCTCCTTGGGTCCAGGCGCACCAGCTTTCCGAGCTGCGTCGACGGACCCCCCCCCCCAAGCAAGCCAACCAACACCGTCTCCTCTGGCCGCCCTCCTCCGATTGTGGGCGCCGCCAAGCTTCCCTTTTAAGAACCCGCTTCGCTGCGTAGCTTACGTCGGAGAGACACATGGGCGGGCGGGGTGGGTTCGCTCACTCCGCCAAATGGGCGGAGCCCACTTGGCCCGGATCTAGACCCCCTAAGAGGGCTATTCTGGCCCACTTCTGAGCTATGCAAGGCCCTCCATCAACCACCCTGGCATCCACTTAGAACCTGGGGAACCCAAAAGGTACTGATACCGCTACTCCCCGGACCTGACCCGGGTTCCGTTCTGACCAGGATGTCGAGGCGAATCCACGGGGGTGGCGACGAGGGCATCCCAGGAGGCCCGAAAAGGGGGAAACGGAGGAAGGGTAGAGGTATGGGTAGTGTTTTCCTCCTCTGAGAACCCCCCCGTGCCCTCAGCGACCACCGCGGTGATCCAAGCTTGCTCCGTGGCGTCACGTTGCTCCCATCGTACTTAAAGACCACATCCCAAAACTGATTTCGAGCACCCAGAAAACTGTCGAAAGAGTGTCGAAACAGTGTCGGACGAGCGTCTCCCAGGGCCCGACACGTGAAAACCCCCGAGGTTCGGTACTTTTCTGGTGCTCGAAATTCTATTCGGGTGATTAATCCTGACCGTCTTGAAGCTGTCCTCTCCACTGCTCGTGCAAACATCCCGCCCTCCCACCCGCAACTTGGTCGCAAGACATCTTCAGACAAGACCGT